TCCCCGGCGAACAGCAGTTGTGCAGTGCAGCACAGCGGCGTAACCCAGCCCTGGCCGAGGTTTTAGATCTCGGTGTAGCTGCAACAGGTAAAACCCAGGGAGCCACCATGCCCGAGGCTACCCTCTGCCCGGATTAAGGGGAAAAAAAAAAAAAAAAAAACCCCACACACATACACAACCACACGCCACGTTGTCGAGGCAGCAGCAGCCCCCTCTCCTCCTCCTCCGAGACCCTCCGTGGCTGCGGAGGAGACCCTGGGAAAGCAAGGCTTTTACGCCCATGGCATTTACAACCCGCAGTGCATTCCCCTCCATGCTGCTTTCTCCACCAGCAGCTCCAAATCACTGCTGCTTTCTTCCTATTTCCAATTTTAGGGCACAACTGACCGGGGCCAGCGGCTTCAGCTATGTCTCTTCCTCCATAGGTATTTTAGGGCAAAAACCACTCTTTGCTATACACGTTTCGGGAGCGAAGAGAGCTGCAGAAATCCCGCCCTGTGCCTAACGCGCCCGCCTGTCTCAGCAAGCCCCTGAGCTGCCAACACACATTTCCGCTTGTTTTTAAGACCCGAGGAACCCAGAGTCTGTATTTACCATCAGTCCTGCAAAGGGGGAAAGTCCCCACGCCCCTTCCCCCCTTGAAAAAAATCCTACTTCTATAGTCCTGGTTTCCATTTAAAGGAGCAACTGGAAACCATTTTATATTCCGTTCAGTTTTTCCTCAAAAGCATTTGGAACATATTAAGCTTTTACAGGAGGGTTAAATGTTTTTGCCTTGGAACTTTTACAGTTTTTAACCGCTCGGGCTGAGATCTGGCAAAACAATTCCTGCTTGCTCTCCCGTCTATCTGCTGCTGCCTATAATTACCCTCAACATCAAAACAGCACGTTTCTGGTGGAAGGACAATGTTTCCGCAGCAACAAAAGCACAGAAGTGAAAGCCAGAGTGCACAAATTTATTTACAAAAATTCAAATTACAATATAATACAGAAACTTTTTACACACTGAATATTAGAACAGTTTACTACCAGAAGGTAAAGAAAAATATTTTTTTAATAAACCACCTATTCATTTTCGGCTATTGTTATACAAAGTTGCAGAACATGCACATCTTTACAGGGTTTCTTCTCTTTTAATATAATGTTTTGCTAAGTGCAAATACTAAGTCTCTCTCTCCACCTTTAAGGCAAGTAAAATGGGACACTGCAATCAACCACATGAAGTACCTGTTATAGGATCTACTTGGGCACAGCAACCTCCCTGCCTCCCTTTAAGGGCAACGGGTTTAAAGAAGGGCTGCAGGGTAGAAGAGGGGATGGGATGTAGAGTTCAAAACACAGATTTTTTCTGTTGGTTGTTTTTTTTTTTTTAAACACCAACATGAACCCAACCTGTATCAGAGCCCACAACTGCTCAGAGCCTCTCGCGTTAGTGGGAAGGAGCAGCCACGCTCTCCTTTTGGCTGCGGAGTGATTTTTAGTCAAAACTTTTGACGATTTGACTATTTTTGAGTATTTTCTTGGCAAGAGAAGCACAGACGCAGATACAACAGGGGCCCAAAGGCAGCCCATGGGCTGCACGGGAAGCCAAGCAGATCTCCCTGGGTGGACGGCAGCTGCATAAAGGACGTGAAAGGGCCAAGTGCGGATTTCTCGCCTCTCAGACGCCAGATAAACTCATCATTTTGCAAGGGATAGGGAGGAAACGTCTCTCTTCTCCCAACTCCACAGGACTCTCCCGCGACCTTGGCTATTGCTCCACAGCAGCACAACATGCTCGTATGAAGGTGCCGCACCTGAACCCACCTTCTGCAAAGGCTCTTCGTGGGGAGAGGCCGGGGGAGGCAGCGCTGAGCCCAGCCGCGAAGGCAGACCTGGACACGGCGCCTCCCTCACCAACTCTACCTGCTGCTCCTCCTTCGTCTCTGCGCTTCCCTCTGCCAAGGCTTAAGTCTCAATAGCTGTGTATCTATAGATGCATATATCAAAAGGTTGGATGAGATGATAATTTTTACTAGCGCTCACAGCTCTGCGGTTCTGAGGGATCCTGCCTGTACCAACGGGAGGTGGCTCTTCCTCCGCAGAGCGGAACAGCAAGACGAGCTCCTGCAACACCAGCACAACACGGCCTCTTTTAAGAGCTCGTGCTAGCAGAGCAGTTTTACTGCATGCTGACCACGAGACGGGGCAGTGCAACGAAACCCCTCCGCCGCAGGAGACCACCCTCCCTCTTTGGTCCTCTGCATAAACCAGAGACCAGATGAAGTCAACTCTGAGCAGCTGGAGACAAGCGGGGAAGCACAGAGCTGGTTGCCCTCACTGCCATCTCCAACTCATACTACAACGGCGTGTTATCTACAGAGACTGGCCTGACGCTTGGGAAGAATTGGCATTTCTGACTTTCTTTTTGGGAGATGTCTTCTCCTGTCCAGCCCCTGCTGCAGAACCTCTGACCCCACCTCGCGTGGAGGGAAGGGAGCACGGCAAGAGGCATCTTCTCTTGCAGCTGCATTTAAAGCAAACGTGCCTGGCACGTGGGATGGAGGAAGCTCCCACACAGCACACGCAATAGCCACGGGCTCCCCACAAAAGCACCGTGTGTTACGTGAGTACCTGCTTTATCAGAAGATTTCAGCGAGCAACTATCACTCCGTGAGGGACAAATGGGGAGGCAGAGTTTCTTCTTCCATGGCCTGGTTTGCTTCATAGTTTGGGCTCCCAGCTGAGCAGCTAAGCTGTCCCCAGGCTGTTCAACCTACCTCGGCAGCTGACCCACGTTTGCACAGGCGGGTGTTGGAGCACAAGTTCAACCCTGCCAGGGAGAAAGCCTAGAAAGCTCAGTCAAAGCCAGCCCTTAAGCCTACTAGACCGTGGCTGTTTAAGGACAGGATTCCCCTTCTCTAAGGGGAAGCCAACCCTGCTTGCTCTGAGGACGACTCCGGGTAAAATCTCTGCCCACCCAGCAGGCCAGCCTGTTACCACAGCCCTCCCCAAATCCAGCGTGGCACCACTGCTCCTGGCTACTACAGGAATCAGTTGGTATAAGGTAGGATTTAAACCTGGCTAAAGCCCAGCTGAGCAGCAATCGAGAAGCCATTACAGTCCCTGGACTACTTCCAGAAATAAATTAAAAAAAAAATAGCAGCAAGTGAATAACCACTTGGTTATTAATGCTAGAGACAATGGTACTGGGGAAACTGGAGGAGCGCACTTCACAGGGCGCGTTTCAGTCTATAGGAAGTGTTCAAGAGCAGAGAAATTGCTGTGCCTGCTCCAAAAGGCAGGGAAGACCCTTCTGCAAAACCCTCCCAGAGGCACCGATCCTGCTGCCAGCAGGGAGGCCACCTCGCGCCGCCCGGGGAGCACTGCCCAGCAAGGCGCTTCTCGGTTCGTCGCGTGCTCAGCGCCTGAGCAGACGCCGAGCGCGTTATGGAGAGCTGCAAGCTAGGGAGGATTTGACAGAAGTCATAAGGCAGAGGCAGGAAGTTTTACCTGAAAAAAACAAAACCAATGGACACCTGGATGTTAATACATGGCGGGGGGGGGGGAGAGGGGGGGAATGAGCCGTGCTG